TAGAACAACAGTATTTGATCTGATAAGATAAAAAGTAAATTTACAGTTCAGTTATCACCCATAGAATAACAGTTTTTGGTCTGAAAAGATAACAAGTACATTTAGAGTTCATTTATCACCCATAGAACAACAGTATTTGATCTGAAAAGATAACAAGTACATTTACAGTTCAGTTATCACCCATAGAATAACAGTTTTTGGTCTGAAAAGATAACAAGTAAATTTACAGATCAATTTATCACCCACAGAATAACAGGGTTCTCTTTTGATTCACTTCCCAGACAGAGAAGCAAGAGCTGCAAAAATGTCCATCAACGAAATCCTCTTGCCTCTATTTCTCAATGCTTCTACCTGACTAGTAACTAATATAGCTATATGCCTCTATTTCTCAATGCTTCTACCTGACTAGTAACTAATATAGCTATATGCATCGGGAGTGGGGGTGGGGGGAGATATCAGGAGGCATGTTAAGACACGCAGAAAGAAGTTTTTCTCAAGACACAATCTCATATATAAGATTTGAAAACAAAATGCACCAATATGCACTAGAAGCAGATTTCTAAAATTGTCTGAAGAATGGAATGTGGAAATTTGGCCAAACATTGTTGATTTGTTACTGTAGCATCAGGCCGAAGGACTGGAACCCAAATGGCAGTTGGATTTTAGTTTTAGTAAGTGTTTTACGGCACTTGCAACACAATAAGATCATATGAGCACCAGAAGATTAGAGGTGTTACAAAAGAGTAACAAACACAAAAAAGAAGGAGGGGAGGTAAAGATGATAGATGTTTAATAGGGAAGAAGAAGCAAACCACACCAGAGCACCCGCCAACCACCCACGCCGCTGGATTGGAAAAGTAAAGTAAAAGTAAATTACTGTCCCATGCACCACCCCAGATCCCATCATCAAAAACAGAGCAACTGGTGCCCCGCCAGGACACAGGGCTCAATGCAAATCTGTCAGGAAGGATGAGAACCCCCCCCCCCCCTTTTTCCAGTGGGTTTGGGCTTGACTGTCAATCTTTCGTCATGTTAGCAGGAGAGGTCGATGGGAACTTCTGGTACGTTCTTTTTATTTCTGTCTCTCTGTTGTTTTTGTCTGTAAATCCTTTTCCCTGGGCTAAAAAACAATTATTGTTTTGATGTACCTTTTTCAAAAAAACTCAAACAAACATAATCAGCAAGCTAATAATAATAATAATTGCATTTATATAGCGTATATCCATGCTCAAGAGCATGCTCTATGCGCTTTACAACTATTATTACCCCAGCAGACCCTCTGAGAAAACTCAGAAACATTCTCGGCTTCTACGGAAGCATACAGTTAGTCACATTTGTACCTACCTGATCTGCCTATATGCCACAGGCTAGAAAAAAAAACTGCTTTTCACACAAATATCAAGACATAACTCCTTATCTCCAGCACACCACTCCCAGCAGCTCACAGTCGGAACCGCTGTGCTGATGAGCCGCTGGCAGTGGCTCGGACACATTCCTTTTCAACGACTTTGATGTAAAAAAAAAAAGTCGTCCTTTACTGGGAGTTCATTCACTAGATAAAGAACTATCAAAATAGGTTTACTTGTTTTGATTTAATGATCAATTTAGTGACGTATACATCATTTTTAGATTTCGTACCAAAAGAGGGCCCCCCATCAGAGTGGGTTTACCCCCCTCGGAGATTTATTTTTACTTTTATCTGCCGTTTATACCCTTTTGGGTGTCGCGGGAAGAAAGAGACATCTCTCTGCCACCAGCCGGAGAGCTTGGGACAAGAGGATGCCCTCGGGGATAAAGAGTTAAAAAGAAAATGTGCAGACCCAGGAGACATTGAGAGACAAGATCAGAATGAGACAACTCACCCCCTGGATGTAGTTGAGCTTGTTCAGTTTTTCGTTCTGTGAGTGAGCACCGTCGTCGCAGGCCCCCATGGGCAGCAGAATTACGTTCTTCCCCGTGGCCTCTTGGAAGGTCAAGGTCACTGGTATACTTCCGCCCTCTCTCGTCATGTCGGGGTCCACACCGGCCACTGAAAGGGAAAAGAGTCTGCTCTAAACTAGTGCTTCTCAACCTGGGCTGTATTGCCTGCTGGTCGGTGATTTAGTGATTTTAGTGGGTGGTGGGGATCACCCGCATAGTGACAGTTGTTACTTTATGCCCCACTTGGGATAAAATATCGGTGGGTCACATGAAGATGATAGCCCTTTTTTCTTTCTTTTTTGGGGGGGGGGGGGGTAAGTGTTTTACGGTATGTAATTCACCTGCTCTGATGGCTTTTCTGGCAGTGACGTAGTTCATATATCCATGTGGTGTGTGTGTGTGTGTGTGTGTGTGTGTGTGTGTGTGTGTGTGTCTGTGTTTGTGTGTACTCATTCATGTGTGTGTTTGCTCATTTGGGTAAGTTTGTGTGTGTTATATGGTACACAACCAACACAGCATACATTAGGACACTCAGACATTTCATTACGGAACAAGTATATATATTCACCTGTTCTGATGGCTCTGCTGGCAGCGACGTAGTTCATATCCATGTGGTGTGTGTGTGTTTGTGTGTGTGTGTGCTCATTTATATGTGTGTGTTTGCTCATTTGTGTAAGTTTGTGAGTGAATGTGGTATACAACTTACACAGCATAAGACACTCAGACATTTCATTAAGAACAAGTATATATTCACCTGTTCTTATGGCTTTGCTGGCAGCGACGTAGTTGGGGTCCTTGATGTCGCTCATCCAAGGTCGTCCACCATGGCCCATATACACCCTACGGAGGTCAAGTTTAGTTTTAATAGTAAAACATTTATAATGGCACTAGCAACACAAATACGTCATACGGTACCGAAGACTAAAGGTGTTTTTCAGTTTTAGCAGAGGTTTTACCGCGCTCGCAACTGCATAAGGTCATATGGGTGTAAAGGAGTATTAAAAGTGTTACTAGAGACTCACATGCACAGAAAAATAGATAGACGTTTGACAAGGAAAATGGAGCGCATCACACCAGAACACCCGTTAAAAACCCATACTACAATAAGCAAAATGATCAGCGTGCATTCGATTTTCTCGAAAAAGCCTCTTTCGGGATAGCCCTCGTGTGCTTAAAAGCAAACACATGCAACTGATACCACAGATTTAGATTTTTTTGTTGTTATAGTAAAATTTTACGGTGCTCGCAACTGCATATGGTCATATGAGCGCCAAGGGGTGGATGTCAACAGAGAAGTCCTTACAGGGAATCAGGCTTACTCTGCTCACCTCTCTAGCTTCAAAAGCGCAAAGTCAGTTCAACTATCAAGGCACCACGGAAATAGCAGGTCACAACAGTGTGACAAACAAGCAAAAGAAGTAGAGGAAAATGACGATAGTAAGGATTAGGAAAGAAAAAGCAGCAGTTCCCTGTTGTTGTTCAGGCACAGTTATGAGCATGACATTGTTGGATCAGCCCATTTACAATTCTACTGTGCATGAACGAGAAATGTCCCCCCTTTGGGAATGGCCTAAAGACACTTCAGTCAGTGGCACCGTCCCAGGAGGTACCCCTTGTGCTTAAAAGCAACCACATGCAACTGATAAAATAGATTTAGATACTAATACAAATAAAAAAATAAAAATTTTTTAAGGCTCAGTGCATCTGAACAGCCGGCCGACAAACTATGCCCTCACTTCAAAGAGTTTGGCGATCCTCTCTTCTTGTGCAGCCCCTTCACGTAGTCCTCCACCAGCCTCTCTATCTCCTCTGGGCTCTGGTCGGGCACGAGGCGGATGGAAAACTTTCCGATCACTTTGCGGGGGATCACCGTCTTGGCCCCTGGCGCACTGAAGGCCCCCTCGATGCCTGCGGGTGTCAAGGTCAGAGTGAGTCTTCCACATGTTTATTTTAGATTTAGTATTTTAGTTTTAGCTAGGTTTTAATTTAGTTTTATAAGAGTTTTACGGTACTTGCAACACAATAAGGTCATATAAGTGCCGAAGATTAGAGGTGTTACAAGAGAGTTACAAACATAAAAAAGAAGGAGGGGGACATAAAGAAGATAGATGTTTGGTAGGAAAGAAGGAGCAAACCACACCAGAGCACCCGCCAACCACCCATAGACTGTCTTCAGGAGATCCTTGTTCTACAGCACCACCCAGACAAACACACACAGACAAACATATCTCCTTTAAATACAACTCTCTAAAAAGTTTTACAGCACTTGCAACCCAAGTAGGTCGTATAAGTGCTGAAGGTCAAGGAGTCACTGGAGAGTAACATAAAATTTTTTAAAAAAAGAAGTAAGAGAGATAAGGACGATAGATGTTTGACAGGAAAGAAGGAGCAAACCACATCAGAGCACCCGCCAACCATCCACAACAACTTCAAGAGAAACAGACAACTTGGAAACACATAAATGTATCAAACAATCTCAACAAACAGCACCGTTCATTCAAAGAGCGGCTACATGCCTAAATATAGAAACCCATAACAAAAAGAGGGTTCTGCAATTGACGATAAAGATCTCAAAAAGACGAACTCACCGTGTAAAGACAGGGATGGATACCTCCACCGTGCCATCAAAACCTCAGCTTTTGTCTTTTTCTGTAGTTTCTTGGCTCCGATATCCTGACGATATTCTTCCTGTAGGAAGGAATTAGAGAGGTGTCCGTCAGTAAAGGGATGGTTTATCCTCGCTAACAGTCGTCAACGCTTTAGTTTAGTTTTAGTAAGAGTTTTATGGCACATGCAACACAATAAGGTCATGTAAGTGCCGAACATTAGAGGTGTTACAAGAGAGTAAAAAAACATAAAAAAGAAGAAAGGGAGAAAGAAAAGGACGATAGATGTTCGATAGGAAAGAAGGAGCAAACCACACCAGAGCACCCGCCAACCACCCACTCTAAAAGTCTACACTACGGACTCAGATACAACATTTGTATAACAGTGATCCTAATCATAGGGGTACAAAAGAAGAATAAAAAAAAGGTAATGCAAGGGACAGTGTAAAGTCAGCTATTTTCTTTGGCAGCTGAAAAAAAAATTGACAGAAAATGCAAATTGGTCGAAACGTCAAGTCGAATTCAGATACGTTGTCTATGCAACCGTATAGACCTAATAATGATCATACGAGTAAAATAAGAGATAAGAGTGAAACGGAAGGAGATGAATATCTTGGGGGGGGGGGGGTCCAGTGGCTAAGTGAGCAGTGAGTTCTGACTCAAAGTAATGTCAAGCAAGTGTCGGTGACATGTGGTTTAGGTGGGTGGTCACTGCGGTGTGTCCTTGAGCAAGACACGACAACCCTAGCTCAAAATACAGGGCGCTGTCCTTTTACAGAGGTGCCACTAAGAAAAAAAGTCTTGAACTGTCTGGACCCCATGGAAATGTGTATGTATGCAAGAACACAAAATTTAGGGATCATATTGTAAAATATATTTTGCATAAAGCAGGCGAGCAAAATCCTGACAACTTCAGAAATCTCGATTTCCGGGTTTATCTGGAAAATCTGCACATCTGATTTTAACCATAGCAGTTCTCATTTCAGTGACCCACTTTCAGCACTTTTTAAGGACCCCCGGGCAAGTGTTGAGTTCCTGCGTGCTGTCGGCATCGCTGACCGTTTATGATGCCACAGCCCTAGAAGAGAGAGAGAGAGAGAAAGAGAGGGAGAGAGAGAGAGAGAGAGAGAGAGAGAGAGAGAGAGAGAGAGAGAGAGAGATTTTTTTATAGTAGAGGGTTTTACGGCGCTCGCAACTGCATAAGGTCATATGAGAGCCAAGGGGTGGGTGTCAACAGAGAAGTCTTTACAGGAAATCAGACTTACTCTGCTCACCTCTCTAGCTTCCAAAGCACATGGTCTGCTTTGACTATCAAGGCACCCCAAAATAGCAGGTCACAAGGGAGTGACAAACATACAAAAGAAGTAGAGGAAAATAAAAATAGTAAGGATTAGGAAAGAAAAAGCAGCAGTTCCCTGTTGTAGATCAGGCACAGTTATGAGCGTGACATGAATCAGCCCATTTTCCACTGCACTTGAACCAGAAATGTCCCCCCATTGGGAATGGCCTAAAGACACTACAGTCAGTGGCACTGCCCCGGGGGGTAGAGAGAGAGAGAGAGAGAGAGAGACAACAGCAGTTCTCACTTTGTCAAAGTCGATGGGGCCATACGTCTTCTCCTCCTCCTCCGTGAGCTCCCTGACCGAGTCGTAGACGCCCGGCACCAGAATCTGGCCCTCCACGTCTGCCAGTTGGGACATGAGGTAGATCAGGTCGTTCATCGCCTCGTACCTGGCGGACGAGCACAGAGGAAGAACACAGGTCAGACATGACGACATGGTGGTGGTAGGCGGGTGCTCTGACATGGTTTGCTCCTTCTTTCCTGTAAAAATCTATCGTCATTTTCTCTCCTTCTTTTCTTTGTACGTTGCTCTCTAGTAACATTTCTAATCTTTGGCACTTACATTACATATTTGTGTTGTGAGTCCCGTTTAAGTCTAACTAAAACTAAAACCAAGGTATGATGAGTTCTCTCAGTCAGACCCTGCCTTTATAACTTGCGCACCAAATATTGTAAACTGTAAGAAGGGTCACACCTCTTATTTGATATACAAACTGTTCTCAAAAGTCCGGTTAGTGATGGCAGCCAATGCAGAACTAACGTCTCGCCTCCTCAGTACTATTTTGTCCAAAGTGCCTCTCTTTAACACCAAGCTGAGGATCTTCAAAACAAACGTGAAGACTGTTCTACTGTATGGTTCAGAGACATGGAGGCTCACAGCATCAGCAGCAAGGAAACTGCAGAGCTTCGTAAATGGATGCCTACGAAGGATAGTGGGGATCAAGTGGTACGATCGAGTTACGAATGCTCAACTGTGGGAGAGAACAAGCCAAAGGCCAGTAAAGGAAGATATTCAGGTGAAGAAATGGAAATGGATTGGACACACCCTGAGGAGACCCCCGACAGGCATCATCAGACAGGCTTTAACGTGGAACCCACAAGGAAAACGTAAGAAGGGAAGACCAAAGATGACATGGAGGCGAGCGGTACAAGCTGAAATTGAAAAAGCGGGGACATCATGGAAACAACTAGAAAAGGATGCTCAGGACACGCTTCGCTGGAGTAATGCTGTTGATGGCCTATGCTCCACTGAAAGTTAAAAAGGGCAAGAGAGAGAGAAGAGGCTCTCTTTACTAAAGTACAGTTCTGAGGAGACGTTCCGTCACAATGAGGAAATAAATAAATAGCATTACTACCACAGAGGCATTTGGCTGGTGTTCTTTTCCAATTAATTATGGGACATTACAGTTTAACAAAAATGAGAGAGATGTGAAACTTATTTATGAGTGTCTTCTGAGAAAATATCTGTTACCAATTCAAGATCTTATACATTAGAAACAAATAAAAATCTGATCACGTACAAAATGTTAAAAATAAATAAATTAAAAACTGAGAATATAAAACCACACTGACATTGGGTTTTTAAAGATTCCGTTAAGGCAAAGATGTGGATATCAAGTCAAATTATAACTTTTTATATGATTAAGTACATTTAGAATAGAAAATGCAACAGCAGAAATTGTATAACCGCCAACTTTTCTAAACCACAAAAAACTGGGACTCTACATACGCAGAGGTGGGCATGGACAATCAACTCTCCTCCTCCAACTCTCCACACACACTTTTCTGCCTTCAATAAATCCAAATTATTCCAGGCAGACCTGCAAACAATAACGTCACAAATGTTGAGTAAAGATCTCTCCAATTGTGAGGCAGCGTGGTGAAATCAGGCGCTCGTCAAAATAACGAAATCGGAGAAACAGGCATTTTTCCGCCAGTTTGGACATTTTTTTCGAATTTTTTTTTTTTTTTGGACGTAATCTCTATTATGTCCATATAAAAGCACATTTTTATTTGAATTTAGCTGAAAAACCTTGATTAAAGGCACAAAGTATGTCATTTTTCAGTTTTTAAGGACTCTTTAGCTATTGAAGTTTCGAAAATTTGGCGGCCATTTTCTAGCTAATTTCACCACTGCAACCAGACGACCTCACTTTCTTCGATCCCAAATATTTTGAGTTCTATTCAAGATAAATGGATATTTATTTAATTGGAAGCAATGCAAATAAATCAGCTTTCAGATGATGCCAATTACTCCACATGCCCAAAAATTGACGAGCGCCTGATTCCACTGCGTTGTGACACAATTGACTTACGGCAGGCTTTGCTCTCATTATTATCTGAAAGTCCTGTTTTGACAAGTTCATAATTTTCCTTCAGCATCAGAAATTCTGTGAGTAGAAATAATAAAAAACAGAACACATATTTTCCTAAACAAAAATGTACTTACGTATTCAGACACTCAAAAACATACTAAATACGTTTTTAATATACGGGCTGGCAGCTATGAGATTGTTAACTAAGATTCAGATGCAGTAGGACCGTACGACGTTGTGCACACAGAATATACTGACAGAGGAGTCCGCTTAAAACAAAATCTGCAGGATTAACAGATTTTCTTCGGTTTAGTCGAGTTTTCAGTTCAGAGAGATTGCTCAAATTGCGACCCCCCCCCCCAAAAAAAACCCCCAAACCCCCAAGCGGATTCTATTTACTTTCCTTTTCGTTTACCGCTGTATTTCTGTTTTTGGATTAACAGTGTTCGGTTTAAGAGGACTCCACTGTCGATAAAAACACTCACACTGTTCCACCGAAGAGGCCGGAGTGGAGATCTTTGGACGCACATTCCACCTCCAGGGAGAAGTAGCAGATACCCCTGGAATTGGAAGGAAGCAAATCGTGAACAGATGACGAAAATAGAACGTGACAAACACTTTTTAAAAAAAAGTTTTAGAAGAGGTTTTACGGCACTTGCAACTGCATATGTTCATATGAGCGCCAAGGGGTGGATGTCAACAGAGAAGTCCTTACAGGGAATCAGACTTACTCTGCTCACTTCTCTAGCCTCAACAGCGCAAAGTCTGCCTCAACTATCAAGGCACCCCGGAAATAGCAGTTCACAAGAGTGTGACAAACATACAAAAGGAGTTGAGGAAAAATGACGATAGTAAGGATTAGGAAAGAAAAAGCAGCAGTTCCCTGTTGCAGTTCAGGCACAGTTCTGAGCATGACATTGATGAATCAGCCCATTTACAATTCTACTGCGAATAAGAACAGGTTAATGTCCCCCCCTTTGGGAATGGCGTAACGACACTTCAGTCAGCGGCACCGCCCCCGGGGGGTGACCAACACTCTGTCCACAGTTCAGAACCTCACTCACTGAGACCATGAGCTAACAAGCACCCGAGAGCTCACTAGACAGTTTTTAGGACCAATATGTCGACATTACATGCACAAAACAGGGCAGGACATAGGTTGACTTAAAAGAAATACAAGCTTTAGCACCTTCGCTGTATTTGGAATACCTGTATTTTACAAAAAAAGGTATGTTAAAAGAAACCCTGAAAACTGAAAACCCTGTCAACAAAGTGAAGTTACAAACAATGCTAACGGTAACGAAACTACAATGGAAAATGCCACAAATTTGAAACAACACAAAAAATCTCACCATTTATTCAACTCCTTTCAAATTTGTACTTTATTTAAGAAGCACAAAGCATTTGTAAATCATTCAAATTTAATGTTTAAACTATGAAAGAGGTGACAATAATTAGAACTAAACTCTATCCTGTAGTTCACTAAAACCATCTGCTAAGCGAGCACGACACAAGTCCAGCACTCACCGGAGTCCGTACGTGATGCACGGCTTTGTCTTCCCCAGCCAGTAGTTGTCCGAGATACAAACGTAGTCCACATTCTGAAAACAAAAACATTTAAGTCAGATTTCTCTTCACTGATAATTTATCATCATCATCCTTCAGTATGGTACGTGAATTAAGAATAATCAACATTTAATAGCTAAAAACCATTCAAGAATTTGCAGTGGCATTATGTTAATAATTGAAGACAATCTCCTTCTTAAACACCCTATAACACACAAAAAAACCCAACTAACACACACACAAATCTAAAGATAAAATTTTTACTAAAACTAGGTGTATTTATTCATAACAAGAAAATGAGTGAGAGGAATTGAGGAAAGTATTATTTCTCACGTCAGAAATCCAAACGTTACTGTTCTTGCAGGATAAAGAAAGTTTTTGTTCCTTTAAACAAACTCATAGCACAGTTCTACGAGAAGCTTACACAGGATACTGGAACCTAAGCTTACATTACTCTAAAATTCTAACATAAAAAGAGCTCCATATGTGAAGTAGAATCAAGAAAAAAGAGAAAAAAAAAATTAGGTAGAAAATAGTCGACATGTATGGAAAAAGTACTTCCCCATCTCCCTTTATAAACATTTGCCAAACTTTGCCCAATGGGTCAAACGAGAACTGAAGATATTTTAAAAAAAATCTTTATACAAAAAGGAACTATTAAACATAAAGGACAATTTGCATAAACAACAGCTCAACACGCCTGTTTCATAAAGAACACTGGTCTACGAGTGGGTCACAGACATTGATCTTCACATCAACCTTCAGCTGATACAGAGGACCACATGTTCATTCACCTGCAAGAAATCCGCTTTACGTTTCTCAATTAGGTCGTCCAAACCGACTGAGCCAGACTCTTCCATGCCCTCAAATACAAACTGAAAAATAAAATATAAAATTTTTTTTTTTACATAAAGACGCAAATGACATAACACGATTAATTGTCATAGATGTATAAAAAAATATGGATATCATTCTCTAGGTCAAGGTTTTGACAGACTTGCTAAATCTTCAGGTTCCAAACCAAAATGGAAATGTTCTTCCCAGATATTTACCTCACACCTAGTGCCTTGCCTTATAGCCAAGGACTCTGCCTTCAAAATGACCAATTCTATGTCAAGTCCGTAAAGACTTCAAAAGCAAAAGAAATTTCTAAGTTAAAAATTTGTTCCAATATTATTATTCTCGTTGGTATGGACATTTTAGGAAAGAAATCCATGTTACAAAAGACAAACCAAATAATAGGATTTTGACAGCAAAATGCAGCAACAGCCTCTATTCTAAATTTCATGTATTGTTCCAGTGCAAGGGTTAAAAAGTATCACGCCAGAACCAGCCACAAAATACCTTGAGGTTGACAGGAACAAACATTCCCAGCTCTTGCAGGGCCTCTATACAGTTCAGCCAGCCAAGGACAGGGCCCTGCAGAGGAAAAACATACAGTGAAAGGAGGAATGTTAATGAGAGACGGTCAAAATTAGAAATTGTCTAACACGGTCACCCACTATCGAGAAGAAAAGTGGCTGTCTTACATTGCGTCATTAAAATGAATGTAAAAAATAAAACGCAAGGGGGGAGATGGGAAGCAGCTATTTGTACAGGTGACTGTCTTATACAGATGGCCGTTAGAGCAGACTCAACTGTATTTCGATCACGTAACATGAAAATAATTTTAAAATACCATAAAAAGTACAAAGAAAAAAAAAAGATGTCTCAATTCAGCGTGAAGAGAAACATAAGCCTTTTCATACCATCGCACAGACTATCACAGCGCGCTCATATGACTTTAAGCAGTTGCTAGCGCCGTAAAACTCTTACTAAACTAACAAAGACTATCACATTGTTCACTGACAGCTAATCAAGTCAACCTTAGACGCACCACCGTTACACTGAGTAAGAGTCCCTGAATAAGGGTCAAGGATAAATCACAGATGTCAAGTACCTAAGGACAGCAACCATTTTGACCCCATCTGAACACTCTTTACAGATTCTTTCACCTTCATCAGCAGCAGCCTTCTAAAACAGAGAGCATGTTTACCTACACCACACTGAAATGTCTCGGGCACAGGATATCACTACATATCTGGAAGGAAATATCAGGGTCTTATTTCAAAGAAGAAATTTCTTATTAAAAAGAATTATTGAGAAAAAAAGAATGTTCATGAAGAGCAAAGCTCATGAAGTCAAGTGAGCAGGTTCAGGGTCCAGCTGACCATCCTTACTTGACATCTTGAAAAAAGGAAAACTAGCTACCGGAACAAACTTTCTTTTCTCTGAGAATAAAGTTCTATAAAATCAAAGGACAAAGAAAAAACCTACCTTATCATCTGTTGAGCCCCGGCCATACAATTTTCCATCAACCTCCGTCAGTTTAAACGGTTCTGTGTCCCATCCATCCGACTAGAAGTAAAGAAATGTGCGTCTTTGATTTTTTACATTTTATGTCAACAACACACTGGCGTTGACAAGATGACAAGGACATGTGGTTACTTGAGGGAGACATTGCGCTGCCAAGAGCGAAATGCTCGCAGCTAAAGGGATTTGAAAACAACAACATGTCAACAACACTAAATACATTTCATAGCTAAAGGTAGTAAGGAGATTATAAAGGGTACCGAAGAAGGGTCAGAAACTTTTTATAGGTATTTATCAATTACTATGTTAGCAACTGGTAACAGACTCTTCATAATACCATCATAAAACTCAATCAAATAACTCCTGTCAGATAAAAATGTTCACTTTAACGTAGAATTCATTAAACTGAAAATACGTCGAGCTCAAAAGTAAAGAAAAGAACAAAAGAAAACTTTCTGCTTCTTGTTTCAATAAATTAAAAAAGTATAATCAAACATGGGTGACAGTAAATTTGCATCACAAGGAGGACAAAAAGAAGGAGTACTATAATACAGAAAAAAAAGTTTCATTTGAAGGTTAAAAGTAAAAATGAGAAACAAGCATACAATACCTTCTCTGCTGGCTGGACGTCCAAATGACCGTAAACAAGCAGTGTTTTCTTCTTCGGGTCTGATCCTAACTTTCCCAACAGCACTGGAGGTAGAGGTATTTGAGTGCCGTCATGCAAAGTCTGCTCACCAAGGTCAGCGTACTCAACTGATCCACCCAGTTTCTCTATCATCTTGACACATTTGAAAAAAAACAACTTACAATCAATGGGATGGCCATTAAGTTTCTCAAAAAAGGTACAAAAGTAACAATATTGTTATAGTAGAAAGGTATGAAATATAATCATTTGACATATTATATATTATGTTGTGCATGTTGTTCAACTGATCATAGCCCAGAAGGCACAATTTTTCAGGAAACTATTTCCTGTCTTTTCAAAACAGTACTTCTACATTATTTATAAGCAGGCTTATCTTTTTTGCTTTTTTAAAAACAAATTTAGAATTTGAATTTCAATAAAATATTTCTTCATCATATGCCACAGATACCATAGAAATTGCAATAAAAAATGTTCAAAATTTTGAGCTAGTGTAAGCTACATCTGAACAGCTGGCCTAACATGTACACTGATAAATCCTTGATTTAGTCGCAGTCTTAAAATGTAAGGTATTTACACCCTCTTCATTTAATTTCATAACTGATTCTTCCAGAGAGACAAGAGAACCATGTCAGTAGCATCAATTTAAATGACGCTAAGGCAAAGCGCAATTACAGACAAAGAAATTTAATACAGAAATCTAAATAAAACTCCATCACCAAACACAATAAAAGATGCTGTAGACAGACACACGTTGTCTCACCTTCCCCGCCCACTCAATCATGCGCTTGATCTCCGGTCTCTTCTCTGGCCAGGCCGAGACACTCTGGATGCTGACCGCTTCAGACAGGCGCTGAATGTACAGATCCTGCTTCTCATCAATGTGCCTGTTTTGGAGGAAACAAAACGTTTCGTTCCCGCTCAATGTTAAGTGAAAAACAAAAAGTAAAATATAATAATATATGGAGTTTTGTCTGGGGTAGGCTATCGATCCTCATTTCAAAAGAGTGTCAAGTATGAAGTATATTTATGGCAGTGTACACATATATCACAATCATGCCTCGAAATCAGTAGAGTAAAAAAGGGTAGAATCTAGTAACAGAAATCTGTTTCAAATAAAAATACAACAAATATAGAAATATCTAGATCTAGATTTAGATCTAGATCTATATTATATTATATTATCTTGGTATATATATAATATATAAATATAACAATACAAAAAGATACAAGTAACTAGTAAGTTCTCCAACCCTGGCCCCCAGCTACAAGACTCGACACTACTGGACAAGCAGGAAAACCAAGTCTACCATGACCATGAGGCATGAAGGCTTCATATCATAAAGTTCTTTCTTCTTCCTCTTACGGAGATAGATCTAGAGTCTAGACCTGAAACAGCATTATGGAAAACTAGCAATAACAATATTGTCATTATCTGCGTTATAAATTCCACTGACAATTTCAAAGAAAATTGAGAAGTTGTAGCTCTTGGTTTGCACTTGCTATGTTGGTGTCTGTGTTAATCACATCGAACTTAAAGAACAGGAGTTGACATTCGATTGACATGGATATGTCTTCTAGATCTAGACCACACAATAAGTTTACCAATGTTAGTGTTAGTGTTGCAATCTTACTCGAAAAGCCGGTCCATTGTTGTTGTTTGGAAACAAGATCTAGAATCTAGAGGTGTATCCGTCTCGTCAACGAGGAACTGATCCCGTGAGTGAGGTGTCAAAACTTTCTGCGGAAAGTCTCAAAGAGCAGCACCTGCGAGAAATGAACAACAGGTTACAGGTTACAGAAGACTGGTTGGTTGCAGAATCGATGAGAGGTGTGCCCTCTTCCTTTAGGCTGTGACCATTCAATCAAAATTCAAAACCTGTTGCTAAAATAAGACGTCTCTGCACACTTCACACTTCAAGAAATTCGGATCAACAGTCAACCGGCCGGCACATTGGTTCAGTGTTCAGGTCTTGTTTGTTGACGCCGTGTCGATACCTGGATAATCGTGAATCATAAACTACCGACTACCGGCACTAGTGATGGGCCGATACCACAATTTAGGTATCGATGTCGATACCTAGTACTTTTTCAAGGTATCGATACCGATACATCGATACCTAATGCTATTAGTAACATACGCCGGGGGTAATAAGTACAGACAAAAATACAACTATACTTTTCCAAGTCTTTAGGTAATCGTTATTTGTAAAGGAGAGAGATAGAAATATATACCCGAATATGAGAATAAAAACAAAAACTAAGTGAAGTATGGGAGAAAAGTCAACTTTGCAGAAAATGTTAGTATAGGAAAATAAAAACACAAAAGTTCTAAAAAGGCAATTCAATTTACCAGATTTTTAACAACTTTAAATTAAACCAATGAGGATAAATCAGGGTTGCCAGTGAGGATTTGGCAAAATCACTAAATAGAATTCATGAAAAACTTCTCTCTTTTTGTTAAAAAATCACTAGATTCCTTTAAAACGCTTGCCCCCTACGAAACTTATCAGTTTTGATAAACAAAAAATTCTCAAGGCCCAAGTCACTTGCTTTGGCAGCCCTGGGATAAATAACACATAGGTATCGATGTTTAGAGCAGGTATCGGTACCGATACCGATAGCTATAATTATCTAAGTATCGATACCTAGAATCGATACCTGCCCATCACTAACCGGCACTGGTACTGATCGGTTCCTATTCTATGTTTGCGGCCTTTTTCCACGACTAGGCTAGACCATCGAACACAAGGTGTGTCGCGATATGAAAACCTCTATTTATTTTGTTGATAGATTTAGCCAAAGACTGGTGATTTCTTATCTGAAAGTATTTACATCTGGTGCCTTTACTGCTTTACGGGAGGGGGTTTACAAAGACTCGCGTTGTCCTTAGAGATCTAGAAAACTTCGATTACTCCCAAGATCACTTTATCAAAAGGGGAGGGCTATATTTTGCATTATATTGGTATACACTACAACAATATTGACACATTGTCTTGCGAGCTGTAGCACTTATTTTCTTCGGTTAAGAGAAACGAAAGTAATGTAACTGAGGCAAGATAGCCACACTTTGCAGGAATTTTGTTTTTGTAAACTTTGCTGCTTGCGGTGTTTGGATCGAGATGAGCTTGATGCTGAATTAAAAAATGAAACTGAGTGTGAAACTTACAAGAAATACACACAAACATTTAAAACATATAATAATAATAATAATGAAGATCATTTCTATAGCGCCCACTCCCGTGTAAACACAGCTCTAGGCGCTTTACATAAATGCATGTAAGAAAAATATTCATGCACGCGACACACACACACACACTCACACACACACACACACACACACACACTCATATACACACAAACACACACACATATACATATACACACACACAAACACACGCATACACACTCACGAATACATAACACGCACACATGTATGCCAAACACACACAAACACACACAAACACACACACACACACACACACACACACACACACACACACACACATCTACTTGCTTATCACACGCACACGATTACACATCGTCACGAAATGAGAATAAAATAATATATACACTGCAATTCACAAAATACATAAATAGATACATAGACATTTACATAACATTGTACTGAACATGAATCTACTGACTTAAAAAGGATGTCATTAAATGTGTCTTTAAAGATTTTTTAAATTTAGACTCAGATGTTGTATGTCTCAAGGGTTGGGGAAGAGAGTTCCAAACTGACGGAGTTTTTTAAAATATAAAACAAATTGTTGCCAGTGCATCCAAAGAAAAAGGCTTGTTTGTATTTTTATCTCTAGGCTAATACTATAAAGCACTACATGGCAGAGACAAAGGGAAGTCAAAGACCAGGTTTTGAAATAAGGGAAGCAATCCAACATCAAAGATATCCTCAATGTGGAACTGGCCTAGTAGCTTCCCTTGACATGTATCAGCTGGCCGAAAGTTGATAGGACATTCTTAACCTAATTTAGGCTAGACAGAAATAACTGAACTTTCTTAGGGGCGTAGGCTAGGCTAGACTAGATCTAAATCTTGGCCAAACCTTGGTTAGATATATCAGAGACAAGCAAGAAGTTCCACTGATCGCCTGTTCGCTTCTCTCAGTGTTGTGTTCAAGAGGAACTATTGTGAAGTTGTGCGTAATTATACTGATCTTGTATTCTTGATTTGACTTATTGATGAACAGACCGGTTTTCGTTCGGTACCCTAGGCAAATAAGCTAGAATTCTCTGTTTTTTTTACACGAGCTTCAAGTGTCAGGTCTGAAACTCGACGATCGGGCGGTTATGGTTCGCTGCACATGTCCCAGCTCGGTGGCTCTCACAACATTTTCCGGTCTTTTCTGGTCTCTCGGCATTTTTTCAAGTTCTCAAAGTTAAATTATTAGCAGTCTGCCTCTGTTCGCCCTTTACCTTCATTTTTTTTCTGTTAGAGAAAGATGTTCAAGGCTATTAAGTCTATGAATTCAAGTGTCCTAGATGACTATTATTATGACCATCCTCAGCTCCACCTCATCATAAAATGATTCTCTTTTCATTCTTGAAATTCTCAAGTCTCTTTATAAAAACCTCTCTTCTTGTGTTGCATCTTGTTGATTTTCACAATCTTCATGTGCATTAGGTTTATCTTACTACTGAACTAATCTAGAAATAGATCTATTAATAGGCTAACATTTTCTTTACTATGTCCTCCATGACAATCTTTACATTCTTACGGAAAGACTTATTAAATAATAGATATATATATATAGATTAGTGCACGTGGCTTCTGTTGCCTTTTTTGAGGTCTTCATAGAATAGAATTTCTCTACTATTCCTCTTTGTCATGCTCTGATGTTGGTGCACATTATTATAATTGCAGTGTGTACACGTATAAGTTTGCCTTAAAGTTTGGTTAGCTCTGGATGACTCTTCAAAAACCTTTGATGCTCCAATTGAATTTGTATTAAAAAAACCATGCCAGATTCCTGTACATATATGACATCTCTTTTACTTTGAGGGGTTTTCCTCCTGATACTTTTTAAAACTTAAAAAAAAAATGAAATTAATGTTAAGCCTTTTGTTTTCCTCCCTGTTTGATTGAGTCTATGAGCTCTCATGATCTAGAGGTTAACCCTATCCGTACGTCGTGTTTTACTATTGTATCCGTACGACGTGGGGAACTCGCTGTGCCACCACTTTCAAAGAGGAAATTTACTCATTAATCTGATCCGTACGCTTTGCGTAATAGCAGTCTGTCAAAATGATTTTTTGAGAAATACTGAAAGTTTCAGAGAGATATTCCTACGAGAAGTATTCTAAAATGTGAAGAATACAACCCCGGGGGTACAAAATGACCCTAGGGCGTACGGATAGGGTTAAGGTGTTCTACTCTCAATCAATAGGTCGCAGGTTCGAATTCGGAAAGCAGCGGAAATTCTTTTCTCTAGAATTTTCCGTTATAATATCCTTTCCTGTTCTCTAACAAGGTTCTGTAGTCTGCTTTTGTCTCCACTTTCTGCCCCCAGCTCCTCACCCCCTTTACCGGGCCCCTTCCAGTGCTGACTCTCTGCAGCCTTTCTACTCAATCCTTGGCTAATTCTTACTGCACTGTCTTTCAGCCACACCCCTGATCTTATGGTAAAGGTTTGAGATCTATAAGCTCCTGCCTTCTCGGACTAGGGCGAAAAATCTCAGAGGTCTCTTGTGCAAGCTGTGCCCGTTAAAGATCCGTATTGGTGGTCCAAGATCATAGGCTTCAGCCATCACCTGGGCAAGATTCAAAGTGTCCTACCAACTGAAAATTTTTAATGTGTCCTGTATGCTCATGTGACCATATGCAGTTGCGAATGCTTTAAAACACTTACACCTAAAAAAAAATGAGTCTTCCACTTTCCATGAACTAACGTCTGGAAGATCCAATGTTATTAGTATATTGAATTTTATCCTATTTCCTGTATTATGTTTTCTAGTTTGCCTTCTGATACACTGTGGTCCAAATTTCCAATTTCCAAGTAGTGCTTTTTAAAAACAGAACACTATAAAAATGTCTTAAATATTGATTTCCAGTCAAAAGCTGATGAGTGATTGGGCGCCACCTGCTGCCCTTGGCTTTCCCCATAGAGCAAGATGTTCAGCAGAGCTGTTCAATATGAACCTTGTCTTAAAAGCTTATTTATTAATTATTGATTCAACCCATGTGCTTTTAATGAAGTTTCACTGTGTACAGGTGTAATGCAAAAGCTATTACTATTAATTTTTTACTGGCTGAAAAATGGTCTTTGTGAGTCTGTGCAATGTGTGAGGAGGGAAATTTTATATAGGGCTAGTTCTAGCAGGAAAATAATAAAAGAGGGGTGTATGGAATAAGGAGTGTGGGATGTGCAAAAAAAACCCCTGAAGATTAATAAGCTGGGGGGGGGGGGGGGAACGCTTATTCGATACCCTAGAGTACATCGGCATTCTGACCTCACACTTAGGCCTACTTTTTCTTCTCACTGTGTAGTGAGGGTAATTTACCCTTTTGATATGACACTTTTTGCATTGCCTGGTATGTCAAGTTGGGGAAAATTTTTGCTACCCCATGACGGTACTCCGGGTACTTCAAGTTTGCGGTGGAGGGGTTAAGAGGGCCTCAATTGATTCTTATCACCGACTGTTGATAGTGAGGTTCAGATAGCTGCAGGGGACTGACTTGCTCCCTAATACTCATCATGTCATAACTGTGTGGCTACATATCTCCATAGCTGCTCTTCAAGCCGACTTCCTTTTTGTGTTGTTCTGCTGCTATACTATCGCAGTGATAGCCCCGGAATCCACTTGCTGGGGTATGTTATATATATTACCCTAATGGAGTGAGGGGATATGTGATACTTTTGTTGTTTTTTATTTGTATTTCCTGACGAACTTAAAAAACAACAACCCCACAACAGAACTAGCATCCATGTAAAAATTGGCGTCTCTATCCCACACTACTTTCATAATTTATTGTTAAAAGTGGTTCACATTGTTGGATGCTCAGTTTGTTCACATTCCAACAGAGGCAAAAGAAAGCAGACTTTGTGCTGTTGAAGCTAGAGAGGTACGCAGAGTAAGTCTGATTCCCTGTAAAGACTTCTCTGTTGACACCCACCCCTTGGCGCTCATATGACATTATATGCAGTTGCGAGCGCCGTAAAACCCTCTACTATAAAAAAAGAGGCAACAGTGTTACAGATTGGTGTTTTGTCCTTGCCAGTTTTGTGTATCATGAACTTCGGGGGAGTCAGTCTTCATGTGGGGTTATCAAGTTCTCCTTGACACAAATATTTCACTTGGATATGTAATATATAATATTAAATATGAAAAGTCTAACTACTATGTATTTGTGGATGTTACATTGTGAAGGATCTCTGTGGCAAACCCTGTGGCTTTGCTCATATCTGTGGTGATCTTTGCTTCATTTCGAATGTTCCATTGATTTAGAATAATAATAAAGACATGAACTTATGAGTAGAAAGATTATGTAATGATCAATGTCCATCTAGTCTCTCATTGATCTTCTTTTGTTTATTTATTTATCTTCGAGCTCTTAAAATTTTTTTCTTCTTTTGTATACCATGTATTTGTATTTCATAGCCTATATATATATGTAATCCACTTCGTTCTTTCATTTTGTTATTAAATTTCAATTCATTTTTAGTACTAAGTTTATTTTTGTGTGTGTTTGGCATACATGGGTGCGTGTTATGTGTTCGTGAGTGTGTATGCGTGTGTTTGTGTGTGTGTATATGTATATGTGTGTGTGTTTGTGTGTATATGAGTGTGTGTGTGTGAGTGTGTGTGTGTGTGTCGCGTGCATGGATATTTTTCTTACATGCATTTATGTAAAGCGCCTAGAGCTGTGTTTACACGGGAGTGGGCGCTGTAGAAATTATCTTCATTATTATCTTCATTATTATTATTATTTACCTGACTTAAAATATCAAAATTTAAGTATTTGTTCTGACCTCATATTGAGTTTACAGTGTTTGAGTGTTATATTTTATGGTTTTATTTTACATGTACTTTTTTTTTTCCCCCAACAGTTTAACTTTTGATCCTTGAAAGACAATGGCGACTCGGTGGGCTATCTGCGGGGCGGGGAAAATCGCCAACGACTTCTGTATGTGTCTCAATGCTCTCCCCTCATCGGAGCATCAGGTACGTACGTGTGAGCTGTACAGCATCTCTTGTCGGTTTTGCCAATTCTGTGATTTATAATATATATTTTTTGGTTCTTTTTAAATGCAGATGTTTTTACGCCCTTATCAACAAAATTAAGATTATTTAACCCTATCCGTACGTCGTGTTTTACTATTGTATCCATATGAAATGGGGAACTCTGTGCCACTACTTTCCAAAGAGGAAATTTACTTGTTAATCCGATCCGTACGTTTTGCATAGCAGTCTGTCAAAATGATTTTTTGAGAAATACTGAAAGTTTCAAAGAGATCTTCGTACTAGAAGTATTCTAAAACGGGAAGAATACAACCCCGGGGGTACATGATATAAATGACTGGGTAGGTTTCGACCCTACTTTACAGGCCCAACTCAGGCTGAGATGGATTTGTTAATGTCCCAGCAAGAAAATGAACTGAGCAGATACTCGATAAAAATGTTCCCTGTACGCGAATCAAACTTCGGTCATCTGTGTGTAACGACGAAGTGCCTTACATTGGCTGAATGTGTTTAGGGCGAAGGGCTAGAACTAGGGCTGGGCAATGACTCGCTTTGGCAAAATCCAGATAATATTATGATAGTGCACCTAACCTCTTCTGTGTTATGAACCACTTCGGCAAATGGGTTAGAACTACTTTGACAAATGGGTTAGAACTACTTTGACAAATGGGTTAGAACTACTTTGACAAATGGGTTAGAACCACTTTGACAAATGGGTTAGAACTACTTTGACAAACGGGTTAAAACTACTTTGACAAACGGGTTAGAATTACTCAAACAAATTGGTTCACCCACTTCGGCAAACGGGTTAGGAAAGAGACTTGAAGAGTCTGAATTCGGATAATGTCTTATTGAGGATTATCCGATTATCCAGATATTTATCCGGATTTTGCCCACCTCTAGCTAGAACTGAAATGGCCGCTGGATTGGAAAAGTAAAGTAAAGTAAAGTTGAATGTATTTGTGTTTTTTCACTGCCTCATGAAAGATTGTACAAAGCTGTGTTCTAGATATTAAGCAGTGATAGAAACGTTATAAATTAACATTTTTAGTGGCTTTAGTTAATTATTTTCAATCAAATCCACCCAAAAATATGTTTTTAAAGGTAATAAAAGATTCTGAGCTAAAAAAAAGAAAATTCTGAAAAAAGTGCCCAACATCCAGAAAAATGCCTGTTTCTTTGATTTCACCACGCTGCCTCACATATGACATACAATGACACTGTCTCACACATTCACCTTTCGGAGACAACCATTTTTTCACCTGGACAAGGAGTGGTCGTCTTGGGCAATTTGGACTGCATCATGTATACTTATTTGAATTTATATAATTACATCTTTTTACTCTATGCAAATAAATAGTGGGTGGTTAGCGGGTGCTCTAGTGTAGTTTGTTCATCCTTCTTTCCTATCGTCCTTATCTCTCCTCCTTCTTTTTTGTGTTTGTTATTCTCTTATAACACCTCAAATCTTCTGCACTTATATAATGACATTATTGTGATGCAAGTACTGTAAAACTCTTACTAAAACTAAAAAAAGCACATATGACCTTATGCAGTTGCGAGCGCCGTAAAACCTCTACTAAAACAAACAAACTAAAAAAAAGAAAAAATATTAGTGAACAAGGAAAAGGTGTTTCAGATCACCTTCTGCAGTGTGCATGTCTGTGGTGGAGAGCTAGGCTTGCTTTTCTATAAATAGGCCAAGAGATTCACCTTAACTGAAACTGGGACTTTACTACAGAGTATCAGGAAGGTCATTTGCTGATAAGCAGCTTATCTTGTGTGGTCCCTTTCAAGTTGACCGTTGGGGATTCGTTTCAACAAGTGCCCCTAACCTCAGCAGGGGGGGGGGGGGTAGGGAATGGACACTTGATACAGTGGGTAGCTTTATGATCACCGTCTGCTGTCAAAATTATGGTATGCGGGCGGTTGGGGGGTGCTCTGGTGTGGTTTGCTCCTTCTTTCCTATCATACATCTATCGTCCTTATCTCTTCTCCTTCTTTTTTGTGTCTGTTACTCTCTTGTAACACCTCTAATCTTATTGTGTTGCAAGTGCCGTAAAACTCTTACTAAACTAAAACAACTTTATGGTATGTCAAAACTTGGAGAATATAAAAGGAAAATCAATTACATTGTAGAGAGTTGATGAAATGCATCAATTGATCCTAAGCTCAGAGCTTTTACTTGTATGGATAGAGCGCAATATAAATGCAATCTATTATTATCATTATTATTTTTTTTATTGATATGATATTATT